GACGACGTAGCCCCAGTCATGTCCTCAATCTAGCGTCGGATGCCAGGCCTGACTGCAGAGGGCCCGACGGATCGCCACGATGCGCCGGTAGTCCACCTCCTGACGATGTCTTTGCCATGGCTGGCGTTCATCGACAGCAAGGACCTCCACTTCGCCGTCAACGACGCTGCAGACGAACTCGTGAATTTCGTGGTGTGAATGGCTGCCGGCGCAGAGTCGGGTGGGGGAGCGCCAGGCGGGATGCAGAAAGCGTCCCCGGCGCCATACAGCCCTGCGCTGGCGCAGGCGACGAGGCGCGATGCGCTTCCAAGCCACTGAAAAAAAAGGGTCTGTCCGTCGTACCATTTTGGTTAGCACATTGGGTGTCGAGTAACACATGTAGTGCGTGAAAAGACAAGCCCGGTGCTTTCGACGCACATGCCTTATGAGGGTTGCAGGCTTTGCGTCGCCCGACGTTTCTGTGCCCCCCCACTCCGCCCCATTCAAATATTTCTCCAAAGACTCATGGGTCGTCGCTCGCTGGCGGGCGACGGGCCGGGATGCAGAAGGAACCCTGCTCTGGCGAAGGCGACGGACCCGGCGCGATGCGCTTCCAAACCACTCAAAAAGAGGGTCTGTCCGTCGTACCATTTTGGTTGTTAGCACGTCGGGTGTCGAGCTTAAGTGGACACTGCTCTCCACTTAGAGGGTGGAGCTCCAGTTGACCTACTAAGGAGCGAGCTTGGTATTTGCTTGCCCTGGCACCGCGACGGTGTCCTGACAAACCTGTGGAGGGTGAGCCTCCATCGACTCCTGGCATGCATCTGCAATTTTGTTGCACGTCGAACGCTGGATAGCTGCAATGCGAACTCGAGCGAAGCCGGCTTAGACGGCTGCACCCAAAATTAGGACGGAAGCTGGTGACATGGCGCCGCTCCAGGGCGTGTGGCTACTCTACACAGCGCCCGTTGAGCACAGAGCCTTGACTGTTCAGCACTTGACAGGGCATGTTACCTCGAACCTCGATGGCGAATCAGTGTCCACTTCAGGCGACTTCCTCCGACTCCTTTTCGAGTTTGGTAGCCGCGGTGCTTTGCGCGTGGGTCTCAGGAAGACATGAGACATCATGCGCCCCAATTCCAACATGGCCGCAGTGCCGTGCTTCTGTGACCTCAGCCAAGGTTGGGATCTGCACGAGTGCTACGCTGTGACTGAGAAGTCCCTCGGTGTTGGCGGCTGCGGCACAGTCTACTTAGGCGAAGCTTCAGCTCTTTGAAACTTTCTGAGCTTTTCGATGCTCTCGAACAAAAGGCAGCATTCAGCCGCCTGGCCAGGCCAATCCCGGATGCGCCTCCCCCCGCAGAAGGATGCAGCAAAGGTCGACATCCCGGCCGTGCCTCAGGTGCGAAAGCCGTGCGATTTGGCATGCGTGCAGATATCCTTGGAGAGCAGGTGGCTGTGAAGAAGCTGAACAAGTCCGGTGGAGTCACAACGGCTTTCTCATATATTACGATTATTCAGTCCTTTCGGAATGACAGAAAAAGTGATTGCATTCTGAGCAGAGGAAGAGATCAACATCAGAAGCGAGATCGAGCCACTCGGCCGCATGATGCTGCAGCTGTGGTTCTAGCCAGTTGATCGGAAGGTGTTTGCTATCCCCAAGGTTTTTAGCAGTGGCTCGGGGTCATCCCTGCATCTCTGCCCTGTTTGGCGTCTTCTGCTTCAATGAACCGGGTTCTACAGACTCTCGGCTTGGCCAAGAAGTGTCCCCAAGCTCAGTGAACGCGCTGTGGACGCGTGGGGCCATTTTTAGACAAAGAAAAGGTGTAAAGCTTTGACTTGCAAAAGGGAGAGGTCGAGCGGTCAGGTGTGGCAGGTTGGGTCGCAAGCGCTGGTTTGGCAGCGTCGGGAGCTGCAAGCCCGAAAGTGGTAGTCCTGCGGCCTCGACAGGAATCAACCATCATCGATGCACGAATTAGACCCGGCTTTGTCTGATTGTGGTGCTGGACTGTTCGATTCGATCTGAGAGCCTTTCGCAGTAGCTTGGCGCCTATTTCAGCTAGACGTTGGGTAATATTGCGGCGCGAGAGTTGTTGTGCCTGAGCGATGCCCAAACGACGCTGCACGACCCACAGAGCGTGCACGCGAGATGAGCTGAACACAAGCACCGGTTCTCCCAAAAGCCTGGGCAGAGCCTCGTGTAACTCAGCCTGCTGCCTGAGCACTGCACCTGGAGACGCTGGTGTCAGGCATCGGTCAGAGCTGAGCCTCTGACTAAAAAGGTGTTCCCAGGAGAACGCGTCCTGCGATGGTGTGGTTGATGATGATGTTGTGGACGATGAGTGGCAATGACGCTGACGATGACGATCGTGGTGGTTGTGATGATGATAGTTCTGTTGCCAATCCATGGAATGGGCTGGGGCTTGGGATCGCTTGCTTCGAATTGGCATGCTTTCTGGGCCTTGTGTGCAGCTCAGGAGAGCAAGAGGGGTCCCTCCATTCGGTGGACGATCGTCATGCCTTTGCCACATAGCTTTAAGCATTCATTGCTGCTTTCGATCTCAGCTTTGGAGGTCGCTTCCGTGTTGCACGTAATGCAAGTACTATGTTGCAAGCCATGACGAGGTATTCAGAGGGTGACCTGTTCGACTACCTTGCCGCCAACGGTGCCATGAAAGAAACTGCAGCTGCTACCCTGATGCCTCCCGTCCGATTTTTCCAACATCGCGATTTTGCACTACCAGTAAGTGCCAAGCAGAAGGTTTGCGAATTACTGCTGCTGATGTTTCAGCACCAGGCTGTGCCTGCTGTCGGCGCTTACCCATCTCCACCGCTTGGGCGTGGTTCACCGGGACGTGAAAGCTGAGAACATCTTGCTGGCCCGGCTGTGGGTCTCGGAGTGTTCGGGGGCGATAACGGGCTGCTTCTCAGGAGAGGCCTCAAAGTCACATACCATATGGAGCGCCACAGGGTTAGCAGCAAGGAATCTAAGGACAAGCATGGCTGCGAAATTCTTAGCCACAGTCGAAGTGAAAGTACTTAAGGATTTTGTTCGATCAGGGCAACAGCAGGCATTGAAACGCCAATGCATTGTCTTGCGAGTGGCAAGGCCAACAACAAGGCGGTTCTGTCCGACGTTGGCATCGCGGCATTCTTGAAGGATGAAGAGGCCTGCCGTATCATCAGCTGTGGCAACTATGGGTTGACTCGACCACGACCTGAAGTCTTACAGGCCATGCAGCGCAGAGTGGGATCCCCTGGCTACGCTCCGCCTGAAGTGGTTACAGACCTCCCATACGTGGCTTGGCCAAAGATCGTGACAGTGTCTTGATGGATTACCACCTGGCGTTTTGTTTTAAATGTTGTAAGTTGCATACATGTGGCAGACTCGCGGCGGCATTGCACCGTCTTAGCAAAGGACGAGAAGGTCGACGTGTTTGGAGCTGGAGCCGTGCTGTATTTTGCTTTGAGCAACACGCTCCCCTTCCCGGGGAAAACACTCAAGAAGGCCAGTGGGTTGCACGATGCATGCCGCTTCTGCCGTAGCCTCCTCTTTTTCGCTCTCCGGTTTCACGGCTGCGTTGACCCATATTTCTCATTCAATCTCCAGTTGTTTCGCCATGCACCCAGATGATGAACGGACCTCATGCAACAAAAACAGTGAATGATAGCTGCGCTAGCTGGCAACGCCAAGTGCAAGTGGATGTGTTTGTGCTGCTTGGATCCTCAGCCGGTGATACTGGAAGTCAAACGCAGTCTGCATTGACTGAAGCCAAGTTATCTGAAGCGCTCAAGTCGGGAGGTGCTGGAGCTGACAGCGCGTGCGCTGCCTTGGTTGGAGTGGGTGGGTCAGCCGGGGATTGCTTCAGATTCTGCTGAGCGTTTACAGTCAAGGGGGCGAAGTCCATGCTGGTGAAGTGTCAGAGAGTTAGTGAGCGAGCTGCGCTCGATAATGTCAAGCCGCCGAGCTTCCGCTACTCTGCGTTGCCGAGGATGCAAGGTGAAGTACGACCCGGCTCTCTTTGGCGATTTTTCTGGTAGCGCCAGCCTCAGAACTGCTTCGATCTTCTCCTCCATGCTGTCAGGCTGTCAGGATCTACTGAGGAGGTTTGAAGGGGCAGTTCTTGCGCGCATCGTGAGCCGTGCAGACCATTCAGCCGACCGAGGTATCATCCAGTTGCTGAAGGCTTTGTTGCAGAAGGATCCGTCGAAGCGGCCCTCGGCAAGGAAGTCCTTCAAAGCACTATACACAACGGCCAGCCAGAGCCTGTCTCTCAGCATGAGTGCAGAGGTGCAGATCAGAGTTGCGAGTGGTTTGGGTGCATTGTCGACAGCCCCACAGAGTCGAAACCGAACTCCGAACATGTCAACTCTCAAGCCGCTGCCAAGAACCTGAAATCCAACGAAGCACTGTCGCCCGGATGACCCTCCAGGCCCGGGGCTTCAGCGGGTGGAGGGGTGGGGATGCACATGTCGCATCTCACGCGAGGCTGTAGACGATTTTGAGAGCTTGGCTTCCACCGGCCTGGAGTCGATGAGAAGCAACGGCCACAAGCCCGAGAGGTGCACACCTCAGAGCTGATCAGGGCCTTAAGGCCCTGAAGCGTGAGCCACTGCTTTTACTGCTTTGCAGCCACCGGGTGCCAGCCGAGGTTGGAGAAGAAGGTCATGCGAAGCTCAGCTAAAAGCCAGAATGCTTCGCTCGTATGCACTTCTGTCCCATCGGATGGGATTCTGATACAAAGTGCTGCTCTGATTCCGCGATGCCGACTGTACCCACTGCTCAGCCATGCCCTCTTCCCCTGAAAGTGTCGTGGGCCACGCAGGAACAACATCAGACAGAGACAGAGAAGCCAAGACTGTGCCTTGGCAACGACGCAAAAGAACCATCACTCCCAGCTGTGGAAGCCAGCACGTCGCTTGCGTTGTATCGAGGCTCCAACGCTGGAGGAAGCGCACCTGGGCCTGAAAATCGACCAGTTGCCTACAAGTTTCAGAATATAAAGTTTTGGCTGTTTTCGCTTCAGGAGGTGGTTTTGGAAAGGAAACTTGACAGCGAGACCTTGTACATAAACACAGTCTACGTTTCACACAATTCCTGTAGTCGCGCTTAACATCGGTCTCGTTCGTTTGCGATTTGGATCTCTCGCTCTCTCTCCCTGTCTCCCTCTCTCTCTCTCTCTCTCTGTCTGTCTTCCTGCAAAGCTTGGCCTGAGGTCTCGGGGAGGATCGAAGGACCTGGGATGTGAACGCTATACAGCCACTGTACCGGTCATGGTCGCGCGAGCATCTTCCGGAGTCAGCTGTGGTGGTCGACTGCCTCTCGTGGTAGCCTCGCTTGGCAGACGCCCTGACCCCATGCGGCAGGAGGCCCCGGCGAAGCCGGGTTCCATTTCGGAAGGACAGCTGGTCGTTCGACTGCAAGGGTTTGTCTGCGGCACAGCTCTTTGGAAAGCAGGAGAGCCTCAGGAAGGTGGAGCTAGTCCGGCAGCAGCTCAAGACAAAGCCCCGTATCTTGGTTGCGCTGAGGGCATTTTCGTGCAACGGATTTGGGAGGAAAGGAGAGTGCTTGGCCAAGGCTGGTTCCGGTTCCTCCATCTGGGCCGAAGCCAACCTCGAGTGGTGGGACCTTCGCATACCTCAAGGCTAGCAAAGATGTGCCGGCATGTGCCAGCTGGTAGCAGACTGCATCTTCACATTCGCTCCGTGCAGACCCGACTTGGGTGGAGCAAGTCGTGCCTTCCTCAGAGTGTCAGAGAAGTGCGCTGGGACAGGGTTGAGTCTCATAGCATCCCAGGCCTCATGTGTCCGACGCATGTTGGGGCTATCAGGGGGGCCGGCACAGGGCAGCAGTTCGTTCATAGCTTTGTTCATTTTTGTCATTGCCTTGAGGGTCAGGTTCGGCCTCACTCATGGCCCTTTCGAGGTCGGGCGGCGGAGGAGAAAACTCGCAGGCCTGGCGCACTTTGGACTTCTCTCGCCCAGTGGGCTCTGAAAGATCTGCGTGTCTAAGTGCTGCAGATGGTGCAGTCTACATAGCCCGGTTCGTTTGTCGCATGCAGAGTTAGCGGTGAAGGCGCCCTCTTGCTAGTAATGAGCCTGCTTGTCTCTTCTGTCCCTGATCAGGGGATGAACGGATGAACCAGTAGCCTGCAGGAGTGAGACCTTGGGCTGCAAGAGCTGCAGCTGGACATGCAAGCTTCCCTTTCCCCGCCTGCCGACACTGACACTGACTTCCTAGCCTTCCTACATCAAAAAGAACTGCGAAGTAATCGACTGGCCAGCCGGAACCAACTCACAAGCTGCACTTGTGTCTCCTCCGACTCAGGTCACAAGCCACAAGCAAAGCGAAAGTGAGTTGCTCTGCGCAGTCCACAGCTTTCATGTCCTTGAAAGGGTCCGACATCGCGAAGCGCACAGCTTCAGTGATGTGCATGTGTCTGCCGGTAGACGTTGCCATGTACAGGAAGCAAACAAAGCATCTCCCGCAGGGAAGTCTTCTCTGGGAAGGACGCGAAAACCCAAGCAGTCCTTCCCTTCAGAACATTAGGACTTGGATCTCCAAACGGAGACTTGCAAAGCAGCCAGCGCAAGAGGAGCTCTCAAACAAGATGCGCTTGTGCCATCAAATCCATCCTGTACTTCGTGCCATGCAAGGATCTGCTGCATGGATTTTCTGCAGGTTGTCTGCGCCGGTTGCATCCGTGTGTATTCTGCCTGGTCGCAAGCGCGACCTACGGCTTTTTGAACACTGCATTCCCGAGAATTTGCCCACACCATGAAGTGGTGGCAGCTGATAATTTTCATGCACTGAGATAGGAGAGGCTGCAGAGCGGCTTCCTCGTCTGCCTGCGGTGGGTTTCTGTTGCACAGCTTTGAGTATCGTTTAGCTGCATTCACAGAGTTCGGGGTCCAGCACGTTTTGCAGACACGCAGGCATACCGGTCAGACGTGCACAGCGGCTCAACTGAGATTGCCACAGCAGTTCTGGAAGCGTCCGGATCATGTTGGCACCAGGTTGCTTTTACTAGATTAGATCTGCCGGAGTGCCAGTTTTGCTGAGAGGCGTGAATATCTGACAGCTCCGTAGACAAGTCAGTGGCCAGAGCGTGTTGTTGCTCTAGACTTTAGATGTTTTGTAGTTGCATGTTGATGCCAATGCAGATGTGGATAGTTGTGCTTTAATAATATGCAGCGACTTCAACGTACCACACTCTTTGTAACAACAAGGTAAATCAAGGGAGCGGCCAACGTTTGCAACGAATCCGCGCGAAAATTGCTGCAGCGCTTGCACCTGTTTTCGAAACGAATTTGCCAACATCCATATGTCGTCCTCAGTCACGCAACTTTTTACCGCTAGCCAGCGTTGCTCAAGTCATGCGCGAGTCTTCATATTTCATACATTCCCCTCCCTGCCGCCTCGAGTTGCCGAGGGCATGCTTGCACTCCAGCATCGAGCTTCCTGATGTCAAGTCCGTGACATTCGCCCTGCTCGTGTCCTTCCTGTGCTGCCTGGCCTTAGGCTTGCTGATCTTTGGCTGGGAGGTCTTCTGCTCCTCAGTGGTCCGCTCCTGCACTGAAGGCAAAAGGAAGGCGGAAGTTCCAAGTCGGAGCACCTTCGGCCGGTTCTTCCACTACTTTTCAGGAAGGGACTCTGAGCAGGTTTCAGAGGTCGCGAGTGAGAGAGCGGGAGCACCGCCAGAGCAGAGTGCCGCCGAGCCCTACCCGGAGCTGCCGGTGCTGGCGCAGTTTTTGCAGCGTGCGGCGGAACACCCGGAAGGCTGTGCCATGCGCACTCCGACCGGCGAAGTTCGCTTCGACGAGCTGCGGGGCTGCGCCGCGGGCTGCGCTCGGCTCCTGCGGCCGCTTCTCAGCGAGGAGATGTCGGTGGTCGCCCTGTACCTGCACAGCGGCCCAAAGCTTGTCGCGGCCATTTTGGGGACCTGGCTGGCAAAGGGTTCTTGGGTGCCTTTGGACCGTAAGGCGCCGGAAAAGCGACTACGGGAGTTGGTGGGGCAGATGGAGCCAGCAGCCCTTATTTGTGACGATGACAGGCCTTTCACCCACTTGTCCACGCCCTTGCTACATGCGAGGCAGCTTATCTGGGACAGCGACTGCACGATGCCTGAGGTGTCGTTCCAGGAGTCCATGGACAGGGTGGCGCAGGTGATCTACACTTCTGGCTCCACCGGTGCTCCCAAAGGTGTGATCTTCACGCATGCACGCCTGGCGCACTCGACCCACTTCTTTGCCGAGCAGTGTGGCATTGATCAAACTACTCGTGTGTTGCAGAAGACATCAAACATCTGGTCGGTGTTCCGCCACGAAGTGTACCCGGCCCTTTGTCGAGCAGGCACGATCGTTTTTGGCCTGCCGAAGAAGTCTGGTGACCCTATGCATCTGGCAGAAGTCATAGATGCCTCCAGTGTGACCTTACTTGTCGCCACACCCTCCGTGCTGCAGCTGCTGCTGGACGCGGGCGAGCTGTCGACCTTGCAGCAAGTTGTGTGCATGGGCGAGCCGCTCTCCTGGCACTTGGCCGACCAGGTCCTCGAGAAGCTTCCAGCTGTAAAGCTCATGAACTTCTATGGATCGACGGAGACGGAAAACACGACCTTCTCTGTCGGTCGCACTGGCATGGACATCTGGCGCCAGAACCGCGCCGTCCCTGCGGGTGTGCCCCAGCCGCATGTGACCGTGCACTTGCTAAGGCCCGGGTCTTTGGAGTCGGCCCAAGGCAAAGGGGAAATTTGTTTCAGTGGGGTGATGGCCACAGGATACAGGCAGCGGCCAGATCTTACGGCAGCTGCTTTTATCGACCACCCGGAACTGGGGAAGCTTTATCGGACCGGCGATTTGGGCTCTTGGAATCACCAGCAGCTGGTGGTCCATGGGCGACTTGATCGCCAGGTGAAGGTGCGGGGCTGCCGCGTGGAGCTTGGAGAGGTAGAGGCTGCTTTGGGGCCCTTGGTCGCGGAGGTCGCAGCGACTGTGGCGGAGGGTGCGCAGCAGCACTTGCAGATCATGGCCTTCGTCTGCCCATCAGATTTAAACTTGGATGAACTGAAGAACGACGTGGAGCAGCGCGTTCCCTCACATGCAGTGCCGAGTCGTTTTGTGGCTTTGCCACACCTGCCACGGCTAGCCAACGGCAAGGTGGATCTTAAGCACTTGGAGGCATTGGCTGCAAAGCACCTCGCCAAGGAGGAGCAGGAGACGCACGCCATCCTCGACTCCCTCGGTGTACTACAGCATCTCACCAAGACGCAGCTTGAAGAAGAGAGATGGTTGCACAACCAGCAGGCCTTCTGGCTCCTATTGGTGATGATGATGCACATGAACTTCGTTCACGGGGCGGCAGTCGACCCCAACACTCACTCCGACTCTGGTCAGCTTGCCGGGGCTGTGATTCTCGCTGCCTGCCACGCCCATGACATGATCGCCTTTACGCTCCTCCTCGGCTTTGCCGATGCCCGGCGAGAACCAACACTCGGCGCTCGTGATGCCGTGGCCTTGGCTGCGGCGCTGGTGAGTACGCTGATAGTGAACCCTTACGTATGTGGCTCCGTCTTCCTTCTAACGGAGTGGTTCCTCTACGTCTATGTCTGGTCCCGTCTGCTGCTCGTCGTCCTAAGCAAGATTCATGTGGGCCTCTGGCAGGCAGTGCTCGTCTTGTGCGCCGCATGCCTGCTGCCAGATGACTTGATTTGGTTACAAATTCCGCTTACATGGCGTGGATGGCTCGTTGAGAAGGTCACGATGCTTAGATGGAAAACCCTGCATTTTGATCTCTTCTTCATGCCCGGCTGCTACCTCCTCGCCTGGCACGCCACTGCCGCCGGGTTTCTGGCTTGGTTTCGGAAGACTGGGGCCCGACTGATGAACGGAGCCCGGGATGTTTTGGCGCAGTACATGGATGCGGCCGTTGCCGAGAAGAGCTTGCAGATAAGCATCTGTCTGGCATCCTGGGCCTTCTTCTTGGCGCTGTCATTCGTTCCTGGAGAATACGGTTACCTGAACTACAAAACGATCTACATTGAGGGGCGTGAGAAGGGGAGCCACGTAGTCACCTGGCAGTACATGACGCACCCCTCCTTAACCTCCTACGTGATGCTTTGGCTCGGAGAGTTCTTGCTTCTCACCCTGCCGGCCCTTGCTGTGGGTCTGGGAATGGCATTTGTGCCATGGCACTTCAAGACGATGGGGAGCACTTGCTTCGGCAGCTACATCAGCCACTGCATGCTCTGCTTTCAGGGCTGGTTCCGCTTCTACTTCGACAAAAGACTGCTTTCCCGGATCACCGACAAAGCTTTCGATCCCAGGCTCAATGCTGCAATTGTGCTCCTCTGGAACGTCCTCTTCTGCGTGGCCTACGCCCATACGATCGGAGCAGGCTTCCACCACGTGATGGTCAGGCTCCTCAAGGGCTTCCTCCCGCCCCAAAGTCAAGGAGAACGGCTGAGCTTCGACCAAGTCTAGCTGCAGCGGTTCACAGGACAGGAAAAATCCATTGTGCAGCCTTAAGCTCTGCAGGTTTATTGCTCATAGTGGAAGAACCCTCTGTTGCAGTTCTGAGACCCACGAGCCAATGAAGTGAAGTTTGCTCTAGGTTTGACGAGGAGGACCCTGGCATGCCATGTGCTGTGTAGCTTGACCGCTTGGTGCTGTTTGCTGGGGCAAACTCTAGACTCTGTCATCGACCGGCTTGACGTCCACACAGACAGTTTTCGCACTTTGCAACCGGACCCGACATGGAGATGCTAGTTGTGCTCTTCACAATCGAGCACAAGCTTCGTTTTGTCTTTGACTGTTTGTTGCCGTGGTTGACACTTGTTTTTTTGGTGTGGATGTTCGAGTAAATGACTTTTTACCGTTACCACTAGCAGCGCTTCCGGTTCCGGGTTCAGGGAGTGGAAGCCCTCAAATCCGTGAACTTTCAATTCTATGCGTCCTGAACCCTGGGCTACCAGAGGGGGCCACAGAAAAACTCTCTTGTCTCCTTCTCTCTCTCTCTCTCTCTTACCTATCCTTCAACTCACCGATGCATCGAATGAAGTCATCCTAATTTCATCATCTCCGAAAGGCTTCCCACAGGATTTGGTGCATTATGACATTAAGAGGAAGTATAGAGTTACGGGAAACTATGGAACTGAAGTTATCCACTTTCGAACCAAGCAACATGTTATACCATCGCCACTGCCCGGTAAACATGGCCATCCTCCAATGAAGCGTTTCCTGTCTGGGACGGTTATAAGGAGAAAGGATGATGGGCAACTGACTAGTTACATTGATGCGGGTAGGGAGTTCAGCAACAGAAACCAGCGTCACCTTCGAGATCCATTGCCAACGATGCATCAAAGCAGAAGGATCCGAGCCGAAAGCATCAGCATTTGCGAGCTTTCTTCCGAGTGACTTTTCAGGGAACGATCACACAATCCAGCGCGCTGGTGCTCAAGGTTTGTGTGATCTACTGGTTTTTGCCAGGACGCCGTGCAGATTTTCGCAGAGGCGGTTGGACGCCGAGGTTGTTTCACGATGACCTGGACAATGCTTGGCAGGGCAGGTCGCATGAGAATGTGCAGACCTGCGTCTTTTAGCGGTGCATCTCGCAAATGCAGACGGCCTTGCGGATTGGTTGGCTTGATGTGCAGATCAGGTCCCCGTGCAAATCAAGCCCTACGATCCTCATGGTCGAGACGAGTATGTTGTGCTGCACTTGGCTCCGTACCGGTGCTCAAGTTTCGATTTAGCATTGAGTTGTGGTCGTTGTTATTTCCGAGTTTTTGCGTAACATTCACAGTCAGTGCAGCCTGATCGAAGTTTGCATTCCGTGTCGTGCAAGACTAAGCAGAGTGCGTTCATGCAAGGATCACCGAGGCTCAGCATCGCAAGCCGAAGGGAGATGTTCACACAGGCGAGCACTACATGGAGTGTGCACAGACTGGTCGTCTAGCTTGAAAGCAGGAACGCGGTGGAGACATGCCGATTGCATGGAGTCTAGATCTCCGTGGCAGACCGACACGGAGGACAACAGCCAAGCAGAGCGTATCGAGAACCGCTTGTCTCCACCATCTGTTTTCCGAAACGTCGCAAACACCTGCGATAGGGGAGATGCTAAGACTGCAATCGACACCCCCGTCCCAGGCCCATTTGACCGTCTGCCTGCGGCCAGGCTCCGAGTTCCAGCCTAGTTGTAAGTTTAACAAAAATCCCATTTTGAAGTCCTTCCCGCTGGCTGCAGCATGTCATAGCATGTCTTAACTCTATGTGGCCTTGCGGCCTTGCTGAAGGCCAGACAACCCGGCCCATCCCCGCAATTTGTTGCTCGAGCTGACCGACGAGAATGCGTGCTTCTGAGCAATGCATCACCTCGGAGGTTCTTCCTCCTTGTCGTGATTTCATCATACGTCTGCATACTCGCTTCTATGCTGGGGTGTGTGCTGCAATGGAAAGAAAGCTACCCGCCTGCCTCATTGCCCAGGACCTGTTGTTCTACCACAGCCCTGGCCTTGGGTGGAAGCCGACAGTCGTTGGTAAGCGGCCTTAGTAACCACCAACCTCGAAGTAGCTTTGACACTCATGGCTGGAACCCATGTGGTAATGTAAAGTTGACTGACTGCGCGAATGTTCCATTTGCAAAATAGTCAGCATGGAGGATCGCCCAATGCCAAACTCGAGAAGCTGACTGTTCGCGATAGACCTGCTCGCCAGAGCTCTCCGAGTGGTGCAGGTCTGGTGCTTGGAGAAGGTGATTACAGTGCCCTGAGGCAGATAGCTCTGGGGGTGCGTCTTTTTGTGGCTTCTAATCATCACCAGCACCGTCGCCACATCATTGCTGCTGCTGCTGCCGGTGGTCGTCGTCTTTGCGCTGGCCAAGGTTACAGGTACGGAGCTCCTGTCTTGTCAGCAAACAGTTCGAAGCTACAAAACATCTGCAACCGAAGAACGACTGCTTTACCTCAGAGCGGCAAAGGTAACGAGCAGAGGGCACTTGGTTGTCGGCCATCCTATTCGGAGTGTCTCAGTCACACGGTTTCTGCCCCTTGCTGCCACTGGTGGCTTTGTCTCCAGAAGTAAATGCATGGATGAAGAGCGAACGTTCATTCCATCGCATGGGTTGCTCTTGTCGACCCATCGTCTTTGTGGGATCTTCCTGGACCCTTTGGTTGTTGAATGAGACTTGGCTTCCCATGCGTGCACCATAAAGATCCGTACAGGCTCTGCAGTTTCTGTATGGTTTTAGATCATGGTATGCCACAAGTTCAGCCGGGTCTCGGAAAGGACCTGTCATGAAGTATGTAGTGCAGAAGTCTGAAGTTGAAAGCGGTGATGCGCAAGACCAGAGCATGGCCTTGCCTGGCCAGGGCCGAGCAGCGACTGCTCGTCGATTTCCAGCTCGAGCCTGAACCAACAATCTTGCCATGTTCTGCGTGCACTTCGGCTTCTCGTTCACGTTCCGTAGTAGGAGTCAGAAGGAGTTGACGAGCAGGGTGGCAGCAGCACTCCATGCATTCTTTGCAAGGCAGCGGCTCCTTCGGATGATTGCAGTCAGCGTTCACAAAAACCCGAAACTCTGTCGCAACTGCGCAACTTCGGGCCATGCGTGACGTACCACAGGTCCTTTCCGGAGCAGCTAGCAGTCTTCCTGCGGAGATGCTGCGGGAACGAGGTCAGCGACTTCTAAATTGAAATCTTGCAGTGCGTGGCTCCGCAGAGGGATGAAGTTGTGGGGATACCAGGGAGGGCCGTGTAGAGGAGCAAGCTTTGCGAGTAGGACCAGATCTTTGTGGCAGGTCCCTGGGCTGTCGTCAAGCAATGGCCTCAATTGTCCATCGTTCGGCTGTGGCTTTGGGAAAAGGTCAGGGCTCAAGACTGCAGTCGTCCATGGAAGGGCGCATTGGTGCCAGAAGCCAGAGAAGGAAGACCCTGAAGAAGACGGATCCAGGAGATTTGACAAGAAGTGACCATTCTGGGAGTTTCTTCAAATTTCATGGTTTGCCGGACAAGGGGACAAGGCCGGGTCAGGCCATCCTGGTACCCGAAGCTATGCAAAGCTACTCCTGCGCCCCCTGGGCCGAGGCTCGAAAATGCTGGCACCAAGCTCAGCCCTCCCGATGCTGACTGTTTGCAGGCGCTTAGAAGCAATGCACACCACGCACAGTCCCGTTTCGTGCCAAGCGCATCGTGGGTTGGACTCCAAGCCCTTCGAGCCGCTGCTTTTCCTTGCTGTAGTCTTCGCATTTGCATGAGGGCGCTGTTTCGGCGCATTTGGCCCAGTTGGTTGCGGAGCAGGATGTTCAGGCATGCATGGAGGGAATGTGTCCGGAGAACAAGGATGTGAAGCCCAGGACCAAACTCAGAGTAGGGGGATCTTTGGCATGCAAAGTCAGCAGGGTTGACACCCGCCTACAAGCAAATGCCTTCGTAGCAAGCGCCATGGGCGGAAGAAGCAGCAAAGATGCTCTGAAGGAGTCCGCGGCTGGGTGTTGCAGACTTGACCAAGTGTGTGCATGTGTGTGTGTGTGTGACATGTTCGGATGGCGTTTGCGATAAGGTTGGCACCCATGCTACTGCCTAGCCTTATCGCCTCAATCATAACAACAGTATGAACAACAAGCAGAACATCAAGGACAACGACAAGAAGAGCACCACTAATAATGACAACACAAATAGCAACAAGAAATGCACCAAGCCAAGCAGAACAGCAATAGTAGATATAGTAGTATAGTAGCAACAACAATGACAGCAACATGACAACCAGAAGCAGCAACAGCAACAGCAATAACAGCGGCGGCAACAGCAACGGCAACGCAGCCGCAGCAG